AGTATATATATATATATGCATACAAGAAGCATTGTATAGCCAGTATTGTTGTGTTGGCCCAAGTGCTAGATAAAAATAGCAAGCATAATTTAGATTTCTGTAGACTGAAGGAAACTGAAGTAACCTAGTGCAGCAAGGTCAACTGTTTTTGCTTAAGCCGATATTCTGTAATTCCTGTTTGGCATTCCAGACTCTGTGCAATGTCTGGAGTAGTAAAAACATTCGGAAGATAAGGTTTGGTGTTTTTGCTAGTCTGAGCAAAACAAATACGTTCTTTTTTTCCTGGAATCCTATATATGTACACACATACATATATGGTCATTCATAAATGGAATATAAAAGGATTACAGTTTCTTTGGTACATATTAAACTAATTTAATCTGTAGGCTAATTTTGTAGAGTGACTTTACAGTCAGTTGCTAGAGATGTTTTTTCTGATGCATCAAGGTCAGCTCATGCACTGCGTTGGATATAAGCATGGTATTCTGATACAGAGAGATAAAACAATTAATAGCAATTGCTGTTTTCTTGTAACATATTTATGAACAAGACTGTAGGCAACACGAGTGGCTATTTTTTGCAACAGATTGTTGTTGCTGATTAATTATCTCCTAAATTTTTTATATACTTGTGCACATAATAAGGTGGATACAGATGATGGTAGGAGTAAAGTGTCTTTCTGCTTTCTGTTGCCACACTGCTTCGTGTGTTTCTCTGCTGTCCAAAAGAATTGATTTAACTGATGGTTAAATTCTGAGCCTCCCTAATTGTGTAGGAGCATTTGTGGGACAGCTGATCTTGGTGACTGACGTCCTGAAATTATTATTTTAAAATAAGGTAGTTGCAAATCCAGTGGTTTTATTTGGGGTGTTCTTTTCTCTTACCTCATTGTTCTGAGATGGTTTCAGTGTCTCAGTGCAAACTTTGGTCGTGATGTAAATCTCTTTCTCACCCTCAATTTCATTCAGGAGCACCAGACATTTCAGACATTTTTCATAGTACTGTTTAGCTTTGAACAGTTTGTTTAAAATGTGGGTTTATTTATTTTCTTAATGCTTTTCAACGCATTTATTTCCATGTCAGTAATTACTGTTCTTGGTATCACTGTGTAAACTGATAATTTGACTTGTTTCTTTTGAATTACATAATTTTTGAAATGGAATGAATGCACTTGTACATTTCTGATGAGCCATTTGATATTTCCAGAATAGCCTACACACAATTGGGAGGAGAAGATGTCACCTTATCAAGTAACAGTTTCCTTCAGCTTAAATTACATTATAGAAATTTGAAAGCAAGCTCTAGCTAAGCACTTGAGTTTCTGTTACTGGCTCTAAAATGTTTCTTAGGCCTAAGGATCCAAGATAATTCTCTCCCCTGCCCCATCTCCTTCTGTGTCCCCCTCACTGAAAGTGTCCCAGAGATGTATGCTTACCCCCAAGCCCCTAGTTGAGGGTAGTACTACCTAGTAGTGTGTTTTCTATCTTTTTGTGTCTGCAGTTCTTGGAATATATGTGTGTGTGTGTGTGTCTGGTTTATTTTTTTTAATTTATTTCTTTATTTAGGGTATGTTAGAGCCTACCAAGGAACCTTTGAAACCAATATCTGCAGCAGAAAAAATAGCTTCAATAGGACAGACACCTCCTGTATCACCAGAGATGAACACATGTACATCTGATCAGTTCCAGGTAAAAAATAGGGGGAGGAGACAAAAAGAAAGAATGAGGGAAACAATGGGATGCCTTGCCTGTTCATTCATATTTAAAATATCTAGATGGTGATTTCAGAGACTTGTTTGTAAAGGGCAGGTGCTCCTTGTGTCAGATTGAAGTCCTGCTCTTGGATCTACTTTTCATGTGTGACTGGAATGGAGTCCCTACGATAAGACTGTGGCAGTTGGTGGCCAGCATTTAAGAGTCCTGATGGATATTTCCTGGTATACAACAACATGCTCCAAAAGGCAGTGGACAGTTACTTCCACAAATTTTAGATGGAACTTTACAGTTGTCCTTCCTCTGGCTAACGTTTTTTATCATTACTTTTTCTGAAGCTTACTCTAAGAGTCTGATACAAAATGAGTTCAGAGGAGTTTAGGAGTGAGGTTTTGAATTACTTGAATTCTGTTTTGTTGTTGTGTTGATATTATGATATTAGAAAACCACTTAAATGCCATGCATGTTGCAATGTGTGTGGTTGGCAACTAGCTAATGGGATATGCAGAGACATTTCATTTTCAGTGTCACTACAGTGGTACTCAACACACATTCAGAGAGTCAGCTGAGTCCGTCCTTAGTGCAAGTCTTGTTTAATCTGTCCAGCATCTTTAGTTACCTGCTATGCTTGTGACTTCTGGTTGAAGGCATTCCAAAATTCCACAATCCTTGTGCTACACCTAACCTTAACACTAGGTACTTCTGAGTACAGTGACTTCCTTGCACTCTTTGCTCTGCCATAGTGCAGCGTTCTAACTGTGACATGCTTGTACCAGAGGAGAACTGTTTTTTCATTGTGGAATAGCAGTATGTCAGTGGGCTCAGAACTGAGGTTGTTTCATATGGTAATATACGTGTTTGGTGACGCTTCCTATGCTGCTTCTCACAAATACTATAGTGGAACTGAGTAGCTGAACTGAGTATTAGAAAAGGTAACAGTAAAGATTTTTGCAACCGGTCTGAGCTGAAGAAATCACTTATGTGACTTCCATACATGAACAAAGTAGGAAAATTTCACTGGCTTTCTGCAGCATTCAAAATTGCCTTTTTTACAGAGGGGATAAACCATACACTAAACATGGTGTAGAGAGCTGCAAGAGCCTGAGCAGCAGCCTCCCTTGACATCTGCCATTTTCTCAGTTGCTTGGCAGTCATAGTGCTGAGTGCTGAAAATAAGAACCTCTACTTATCAAAGCCTCGTTTTTTCTCTAATATGTATTTGTACTTTTAGGTACTCCTGCAGCAGAATTTCCCATTACTTGTCACAGTTTGATAATCTTGTCCCACAGCTTGTTCTGACAAGGCCATCTCAGTTCAATAGTTGTGGTCCATGAATGCATAGGAGAAGCTTCTATGCTATCTGTCTGCACTGCTGGCCTTAGATTATTTTTTTCCAAAAAGACAAATACTAAAATAAGCTTTTGGGGAAGAGATGAGTTGGAGAACTAACAGTTTGGAATGCTAAGAGGTTGCAGTTAAGTGACATTCAGAAAGTTTCAGGGCATGAACGATCAGTTCTCTACCTTAGAGACCTTGTTTCTCTCTTGGCCTCATCTGTTAGTGTTTGATGTCTTCTGTTTGCTTTGGGGAAAATCCAGCTTCACTTCACATTGTGCAGACTGCCTCTTAGGAATATTCCAGATTGTAGTGGTGTTAAGATGATGTGCCCCAACTTTTGTAAACATTTCATTAAGAACTGTGCTGTAAACTTTAATATTTCCATTGCATACTTATCCTGGGCAATTTTAGTGGACCCTGAAGCTTCTTATTCTAAACACAGGTAGTTTAGGTACAACAACTTAGGTATCTTTAAGCTTAACCAAGTAATTACACATTAACTGGGTAAAACTTCTAAATTCCTCCATTTTCAGATAGCAATGATGATTGGTCATTCCTATATTCAGAAACATCAGCATATTGGCTTTCTTGTTGAAAAGAGAAGTTCTGGTTAATAGATTTCTATGCTTTGCTTAAGGAAAGGAGAATTCTCCTTTATTGAAAGCCTGGCATTTATGGGACTTATATACAGATCAGTATGTGTATGACTTCCTGCTGGGGGAATAAGATTTTGGAATAAAGACTCTGATGATGTAGAATGGGAGTGCGAAGAACACTTGTAAAAAACACAGAAATGTCTCCTTAGTTTTTTGGTTGTAGGCAAATGGAGGAAAGCATGCAGAGTTTTAAAATAGAGAGCATTAGAAATCAAAAGAATGAAGAGGAAAAAAGCAGCAAATGAGCTGCAATAATTTTTCCTAGCTATTTTGTAAACTCTATATGTTTTGGCCTCCTTCCCTGCAGAGGATCTCACTGGATTGGTTAGGCTGTGGAAATACAGTGAACAAATTTCCATCCGAGCAATTTAAGCTGTAAGGACAAGACTTTCAAAATTATGATTTCCCATCTCGAGCAAGTTAAGTTACTGACTGATCTATTAAATTAATTTATTATGTAAAGATTACTTTTGTAGACTCGCTCTGTTTTACATTTGAAGGTAGTGTCTAAATTCTTCTTAGATCTGTCGTTTATCTTGACAGTTGGGGGGATTATTTCTCTGTTCCTCTGTGCTCATAACTGTAAGGTAGTAAACAGAATATGAAATAATCCCCTGATTACTGTTGCCTTTATCTAAGTATGGTATCTCAAAGACTTTGCAGGTCTGAAGGAAAAGGCTCTATCAAGGCACATCAGGTGTAAGAGAGAATGGCTGCTCAAATAGGCAATCTTTGATTGTGAAACCCGAGACAGGTGCCCTTTACTTTTTTTACAGCATCTGCTAGAGTGGGCTTTTACACCATGGCCAAGTCTTCAGTCAGTGCAATTAAAATATACTCCAGTGCTTGTTAAAAAGGTGGCTGTCTGGACTTAATGTTGACTGCTTTGTCTTGATTTTTATGTTGTTCTCTGGTTAATGTTGTTTTAAAGTTTATTTACCTGCTTTTCTTTGTCTTTCTTGCAAAAAGTTACCTAGATAATTCTGCTCCTTAGCTATTGCTTCAAAGCATCCGCTTCTCTCTGTTTGGGACTGTGTCTTTGGTAGAGACTAGTGGTAGCTTTGTCCCAACATACAGGATAACTTTAGGATTTCTTTCCTGCCTAGTTTTGCTTAGTAAGTTTTATACTGGAATAGACCCAGACCTTTCTAGAAGAAAATTACCAGTAATTCTTTCCTGCGGGTGCCCCTTACAGCACATCTGCATGCATGTAAGCCACTGAATTAGAGATCAGGTTATAATAGAAATATGTATCTTACACTTGCTGGCTATTAGGGACTGAACCTTAATTAAACCCCATGGGGTGACAGTCTTTAAAAACACTTTTAATTACATAAGGCACCATCAGGACAATGACAGATGCAAACTACCATATTATTGGCCACCAGCCAAAGGCTCCATCATGGAACTACTCTCCAGTTATACATATGAGAAAGATCCAAGAATATATGTAGCTTTGACAGAGTAAGAGAAAGATTTGCAGGTAAGAGATATTACAGAACTTGCTATTCTATCAGATGTGACAGTCGCTTAAAGGTGGTGTCTGGGAAGAATAATTTTCAGAACTGTTGTAATTTTGTCAATGAATACACACAGTGAAATGTATTAATTACTTCCTTGTAAACCTTTTTCTGAAATGTTTATGATGCTTATTTGTGGGATCTGTCTAAATATTGATACTGTATTTGTATTACAAGCCCTTCTATTTTTCCCCCAGCTTTAAGACAGCACAATACTTCCTTTTTTTTTTTTTCCTTTGTTTAATTTTCCTTGGGTGACTATTGGCACAGACACAAACATTTACATTTTACTCCTTTGGATTATAAAAGCATAATACCATTCTAAAATTACTGTGTGAAAACATCTCTCACTTTGATAAAAGTGAAATATGATGCAGTAAAACCAGCAGGCATTTTAGTTTCCTCTTTCTCCCTTCCTTAACATTCAGAGTAGGACTCTGACAGCTGAGTATACTTTTTCATTTCTGTACTGTGTCCTGTAATCTAAGATGGAGGGAGGAGTGAGAGCAGTTTGCCCCTTTTCCTTTAGGTGTGTTATTAAAATAATGGTTGTAAATTCAGTAGTCTAGCAACCTTGCAATCTCTGAAAGACAAAACATTTTATTCCTATTTGCAGGGCGTGTTCCCATTGTCTGAGATTTCAATGCTGTGTTCAGATGTCACAGTATAGTTGGTTTTCTTAGGGCTGAGGTCAATAGAAACAGAAAGCTTTTCCTTTCTGTTTAATTGGCTTTTGCCTCTGCCCTTTCCTTTCAGTTTGTTTGCAGTTGTATAGACCAGGGCTCGTTAGCATCCTGTATAGATGGGGTCTATTTTACTTGCCACCCCACTCTCTTGCAAGTGGTTGAAGTCAGCAGAATGGTCTGATGCTGCACAGCAGACTAATATACTTAGTGTACTCTTACTGATTTGGAGTCAGATGGTATTTTTTTTTCCATTTTAGGAAGAATTCATCACATCCTTTGTCCTCTCATTGGCAAATTTGAGAATCAAGTCGTCATTAAAGGGAAAAGCTTAGTCAGCCATTGGTACCACCTTTTCCATGCAATTGTCACACTCATCAGTCCTGAGTCAGTTTTTTGACACAAAATGTAGTGAGTGTTTTCCTCAGTAAGTGAGAGTTGGTAGGGACCTACTTTGTTTCAATTTGAGTTCATTTTCCTCAAGGCAGAAAACTACTAAACTGTCATACTCTCCTCCTTTTTTAAATTTTTTTTATTCAAACCTTTTTTAATGTTAACCTATTTTAGGTGTTACAAACTTTAAACAAGCTACTGATGGTAGTGATCATTACTTCATCAGGTGTAGCTTCCAGACTGCTAACATTATGTTTCTATGCAAATCATTTCAATGCCAGTAATTTTATTACTAAAGTAAAAAGTGTACAATCAGCTCCTTAAGCTCCATGGAGTGAATACTGTTCTAGTTGTGCTGAGTACTAGAAATATTTCCAAGTCACTAGGTAGGAAAGATTTTTCTAGGCAAGGCACTTACTATAAGTAAATACAGAAATCTCCAGCTCCCTTCATTTTTCTTTCTGTAAACATCTGTCTCCTGGCAAAAGCCTCTTATGGTTAGCTTAATTGTACAAAGCTAGCTCAGGTTGCTACAGTCTTGATCCATGAATCTGCATATTTTTTCAGTGTTGGATAGTTTTAAAAGTAAAATAAAAATTAAAGCCTGACTTTCTACAAAAGCAAAGAGAAGGTACGTCTCAGCCACTGGAAGCTTGACAACTAATGATTCGTTCTGAATAATGCTGTAGAGAACTTCCATTGCTTTTCTTCCCTAAGTCTGATTGTTCTGTTAGAAGTTGAAAGCACATCCTTTCCCAGAACTTCTTGACAGTTGACCTCACTGGGGAGAGAGCAGAAATGTAATTCACAGAAGTAGAAAGATCAACTTTATTCCAGACATTTCTGATAGTGTCCCATCAGTTTGTGAGCAGAGAATACAGGAGGACAGCACTTGCAAGTTACACTGCACCTGAACGCATTTTCCCTGTAAAGCATGGTCCGTGCTGCTTGCTTGATTCACCTGTGTGTGTGCAAAAGACTTAGCGAGAGGAGAGGAAAAGGCAAGAATGGGCTCCCAGAAGGAGCCAATGTTTCCATACTCCTCTTGTTCAAGCATTGTTACCAATAGCTTGTTTATATATTGGAATGAGTTAATTGTTAAAAGATAATAAGTCACAGGAATTTTTTTTTTTAAAGGGGGTGGAGTGGGGAGGGTGTTGGTGGTTTGTCCCTCACATGTAAGGATGATGTCTCATAAAAGCAAAACAAACCAAAAGAATCATGGGCTATTTGATGGTAAATAACTGATTTTATATACAGTCAGGACAAAGCAGGGATGTACAGACAGCTTTCACTAATAAACCTATAATTGTGTATACATAATTTTTTATGCAAAATGCCTCATCTTCCATGAAAGTAATAGTAGTTTAACTTTCAACTATGCCTTAAGGTTTTTTAATCCCATTCATATGTTTTAGTTAATTTGCACATCTTGTTCAAGTTAGAAGTTATAACTAATCTGTACTGTTTAGAATTTAATGAGACTTCCTGTGGTAGAACAAATCTACTTTGAATTTTTAGTGTATATTATGAAAATACACACCTCCCAAAAGTTGGGACTTGCTCGTTTAGTTGTCTTTTTAGTATTTAGACGCTAAAGAATCTGTTGTTTGAACTGCTTTGCATTGTTGTAACCTGAACTGACTATAAAATCTGATTTCTGACTTTTCAACTCTAGGAATCTCTACCACCTGTCCAGTTTGACTGGAGTAGCAGTGGCCTTACTAACCCTTTAGATGGTACGTCTCTCCGTAGAGCCTCTAGCACCAGAGCTAGAGATAAGAAAGCTACAAAGCTCAGACAAACATCTATCTGCTGATTTTTTTATTTTTTTTAAATATACACACACACACATATATAAAAATAAATATAATATTTATTTCTTACTCCTAACTTTGGAAATTCAGGCTTTCTTTCTGATTAACTGTGCCCCTACGTGAAGTATTATGTAGTCTGAAAAATACTAAGTAGTATTTTAGATTCCTGCCATATGCTAATGACACAGTGGCAATATTAACACTTCATTATATACATAACTGCAGATTATAATGAAACTCTGAACAAATGAGCATTTTAAATTGACAAGTTTTACTTAAAACTATTTTTCACCAATGAACTATCTCTTTAGACATCCTTTGAATGACAAACTTATGTATAGTGGCTACCTCAAAGCACAATATTTTAACCACAAACTGTTTGCAAATATGCACTTCTTGAGCTGAAAGTTTTCAGATTTACAGATAATTTTATATTTCAAAAACGTGACTTCATCTGTTATCACTTTTGCTTACACTCAAGAGTTAATTATAGCTAATAAATTAGAGGTAGCTACAAACTTATTTGTATCTGTAAATGTATATAGGTATCACATAAAAGACCCTTCACCGATGTCTATTTTAATAGCAAAGTGAGTTGTGCCACTGCCTCCAGTCTCAGAAATGTAAGTGCATGCAAAGGAAATAAAACAAGTTTTGGAAACTTGTTTGACAGACTAGAAACCTGTAAGGAAACTGATACCTTTATGAAGAGCCTGCTAACAGCAATTAATTCCTGACACACAAGTTGTTCAAAAGCAGGCCAAAATAAACTGCATCTCTTACTGCACTGGTGTTGCCTCACAGTGTTGTCTCAGAACATGTGGGATGTTAAAAGTTTGGATAGCAATATCATGGTGCTGAAGGAAAGCCTGGATGGACCCTTTTGCTGTTGTCTGGTGTCTTACTACTTCAGTCAATCATCATGCTTTCTTTTTAACAAACAACTTCTTTAAAATGTATCTTGGTTTGATTTCTGTTTTAGTACTAAAGGGGAACAGTATAATTTCCCAGTGAGGAACTGGATATAAGAGTGGCGTTTGTTACGCTGTGTTCACGCTGCTATAAGATAATGGTAATTAATAGCTTAAAGCTGCTAAATACAACTTTAAAGGAGGTTGGGTTTTTTTTTGTTGTTCTTTGCTATTTGGGCATCTGCTAAGTCTTCCTGATGAAAGAATGGCTTTCAATTTCAGTGAGGAGAGAAAAAGCCTGCTATGTTCTAACTATCAATTGACTATATATTGTTTCCCTTTAACTGATCACATCTTTCTCTCTGGGTCGTGCTGGTTCTCTTTCATTTTTAGATTGAAATAAATATATCTATTTTAAAGTTACTAGTGTTGATTTCCTTGCTGCATTGTACATGAGGAAATGTGCACTGAATTAAGTTGTTAACATTTTAGAAGGTACAAACTAATACTGTAAGCATTGTTTTCATGTCAATTTTTAAATTGCGTACTGAGTACTAATTATAACTTGCATGTTCAAGTGTGTGTCTTACCCCTTTTTACACATAAACCCCTCCCTTGGCTTACCTTCTATATGGCTGCCTACCAACACGGTCACTGAATTTCAAGCTAGTGGAGGTTCCACTCTTCTGAACCTTGATTTCTTTGGGCCCGTGGATGACAGTAGCTCTAGCAGCACCACCACAATCCCAGGTCAGCAGAGTGTTAAAACCACAACTGTAATATTATAACGACTTACTAAAAGCATGAGCACATCACTTGACTTTCCTATAAACAAGGAGAAATTTTACATTGCATTTCTCTAAAATGTCTTTCTACTGCGTTTTTCCTTTAATCTGTGTTCTGTTTTCTGATGTTTTGTATCGAGTGCCAAGTATTTAAAAGGTACTGTCAGCTCTGTATTTGTCACCTGCTGAAGGAATGAATGGCTCTTATGCTCTTGCAAATAAGATGTTAAAACACTTGTTTCAAATGAGAAACTTTGAAAGTTAACTTTTCTAAGCACTTATGAAAAAATTGAAAACCACTGTAGATGTGACAATTCCTAAAAAATGGGGCTTGCTCCCTCTTCTGAATGAGTGTCTCCAAATCATAGGATTATGATGCTACTTGGAAGTTATGTGTGAATATAAAGTTATGGGGCTTAACATATCACAACCCCACTGATGTTTGCTGCTACCAGGAAGTTGTAAATTTTTCTCTTTGTGTGAACTACTAATATTAATGATAAAGTGAAAAAAGTGTTTTAACAACATTCATAATGGAAAACAAGGATAGCTGCATGTTTGTGGGACATCAGAAGTTCATGAATGTTAATTATACAACCAAAGCACTTTATCTGCAACTTACTCCCTTAAAAGGAGACGAAAACACCACTATTTCCATTGAATAATAGTGAAAGTAATTGAATTCATTTATCGTGTGGTTTTGACATGCTCTGAGTATTTTGTGTGAGCTTGTGAAAACCTACGCTTTGAATAAATTTCTGCAGGAATTTAAGGGAATGTTTGGGGGATTTATCCCAGTGCACAGGTTAAGTCAAAGATTCTTTCAATACAGTGCCTGAAGCCATGATAATCACTTTCTTCGTAGGAATGGATTTTTTCCTCATAGTGAATTTAATTTAAAAAATCGATTTTGAAGAGGTTTAGGGGTTTCCCACATTTAAAAGAAGTGCTTATATTTTTAATATTTTTTTTAAACCTGCTCTTTTAGTTTTGCAATCTGATCATCAAAGGCAACTTTATGATGTCTCATTCCAAACTTATTTTTGTTCCACCCTCGAGAAATGTCATTATCAAATGAAAGACAGCACATTTGTCCTTGAAGTGATAGGTAGCAAATTCAAGATGCTTGAATTGTTTATTAAGCGTGTGCAAGTCTATTGACATAAAAGTTATCAGTCCCCAGTACATGTACTGCTCGTGTAGTCGGGTACCTTCTTGTGTCCTGATGCTGTGCAGACTTGAAGTGATTACTGGAGGGATGCTCTTTTAGCCTTTTATTGCATTTTTTTGTTGTTGTTGTTTCATCAAGTTACAGGTATTATCACCTTCCCTGGTATGCCCTATAGTGTCCCCTTTTTTTTCCTTTTTTTTTTTTTCTTTTTGTTTTGTTTGTTTTGGCTTTTCTTCCTCCTGACTTGTTTCTGGGAAAGTCATTTGTTTCTTGGCTTGCAGCTCGTGTGTTTGCGTGTGTCTTTAGGAGCTTTGTGTGGGGTTTGGTTGGCTAACTTTCCTTCAATATCTCATTAAGGTTTTGCAGTGCTTTCCTTAAGTATTCTCTAATCATTTGAATGAAATGGAGAATATGCAACTCTTAAAAATAACTAAAATAATTGAAAGACAAATTGTTAGATCTTTTGGCTTAAAGAAGAAACTTTTATCAGTAATAGAAGTTTGTTCTTTCTCTGAAGACCTTAATTTACTTACTATGGATCTGTGCTGTGTTCTTCTCAGTCTGATTTCATCAGTAGCCAAAATAATTTTTTATTAAAATTTGCATTCTACATCATGAACAGGGAGTTACTCACTTCTAGTATGTTCCCACGGATTTAGTGTATTATTTTATTTTTCATGTTGATAGTGTAACATAAATGTAGCTGAGTAAGCTGTGCCTAAAGAACAGTAAATTGAGCAGACATCACACTACAATGAAAATGAATTCAGGACCGTAAATGTGAATACCTAAATGATGTAACTTATAAGGTTGCATTTAACATTTGTTGCAGAGTTGCATGTCAAAGGACTCCTTGTTTCAATTAGTTTTACAATTTGTACCTTAATGGGATTTCGCAGGCTTCTGCAAGTCAAAGTGTATTTCAAGTCTTCTTCTCCCTGATTGAAAGTGGGTATTTTATGGAATAGCTGGGCTTTTTCCTATTTCCAAGTTCTGTAAACATCTGACAATACTTAAAGTCTTGGTGTACTGGTCCCAGGACAGTACATATTGTGATGTTTTGCATGAAACTGGATGAAATTAACTTTGAAAATCCAGACTTAAGAAAATCTAGGTTGAAAGGAGAACTGATTAATTTCTAATCAACTCATGTTAAATGGAGCAATTCCCCCACCCTAGCTCCTGCAGCTTAACCAGATGATTCTCTTAATTTTACTTTTTGGTTGGCGTAGTTCCCTAACAGTGAAAGGCAACTTCACTTGTGCACAAATGATGAATGGTCAAGACACTGCTTGGGAGAGTTCATTCATGAGGGTTATTAACCTCGTCTGTTTGCACACGTAGTACTGCAGTTACTGGGTGGAAAAGGCAGGACTATAGACACAGGCATTTTTTTGTTTAGTAATCTTTTGGTATTTCAGGAGTACATCTAAAAGTGTCTTGATCCAGGCAAGTAAACTGGATAAAATCATCAGCACATCAGTTTATAAATCCTATTTTTATATTAGGTAGCTACATGGGACCATCGTGTCCAAGTATTTGCAACATTTGTTCTGCAGTAGTATGAAATGCTTCTCTGTTGTCCAGACCACCTGGCACTAGTGTTAAACTTGCTTAGAATGCAGGTGCCTATAAAACACGATGCTTCTGTACAAAAATTCTACGCTGTTTTTGAAAAAATGTTTTTAATTGTGGATGGCACGTATGCACACTTCATTTAAACCCATGAACCATAAAATATCTGAAACTGTAACTAGAGGAATATCACCAATTTAAAATGCTTTTGAGCAACAAAATGTGTGGTAACAATCTTGATTTATTTTGATAATTCTAATTCCTAGAGACTTTTTTAAAGAAAACATTCTTAATATCTGGAAATTCTGGAGCCACTTCCTACTGAGATGTGATGTGTGATATTAAATATGTATCTTCAGATGCAGGTTTCCATTGTTTGCATTCTTTTCAGAATGACCTCTGCTGATAAAATTTGAAATCCATTTGCAATATATGTGATGTCAAAATTTAGCATCTGATTTAAGGTATCTGAAACTAGGAAATCAAGGCTTAAACATCCAGATACTTGATGCTTTATAAATACTAGAAAGATGAAAAGGGAGCATAGACTAAAAGTTTTGGTAGCATTATACATATTAGTGTGTAACTTTTTTGAATGCCATTACATTTTTATGTATCATAAAAGCTGCTTTCCCTCACTTAAAAAAAAATTATACACAACCTCTTGTGAAAAGCAAGACACTAAATGCACTCTAATGCATGCCAGTGGTGTGTGTAATCTCTCGTTAAAGAGTTGGTCCCTGTTAACATGCAGTGTGCTTTTAATGCAAACAGTTGAATTGAAATAATTGAAACAATTATAAGTTTTAACATAGCTGACATTTTTGCAGGTATTTCACTCTAAAAAGTAAATCAAATTTGTTTTGTTTACTCTTAGACTGAGACCTTGTATGCCAGACTTGATCCAATGTGTGTGTTTTGTAGGACAACTATAAAAGCTACTGAAAAAGGGTGGGGAGAGAGGACAGTGTTTCAGAACCGCAGACATGTTCTGTCATGTTCTTTTCATGTATCTTGAAATTATAAATGATTCAGATGTTTACAGAAAACAGTCTCTAGCAATTCGGTCTGTGGCTAATGATGGCTATACTTGCCTCCAACCATCACTGATTATCATTTTATACTATAAGGTGTGGATCCTGAGTTGTATGAATTGACAACCTCAAAACTGGAAACTTCTAATGCAAGCAACAGAGTGACTGATGCGTTTGCAAGACTCATGTCCACAGTGGAGAAGGCAAGCACGTCCACAAGGTAAATACTCTTTGCTGTGTTTTTTTTCTTCTTTTTTGAAGGGTGGCATGAAATGTGAGGAGTGAATGTGTGTGCTATTGTAGGTCGGAAGTTCTTGAATGATCAGAAGACTTGAATTTAATAATTAAATTTAAATATGAAATTCATAGTACTGTAGTTCATATTTCAAATTATCCTAGAACTCTAAAATAAGATGGGAAACAGTTCATGAGCTGAAAGAAAAAGATCACCAGGACGTAAGTTGAAAAGCTAGAGCTAAAGACTGAACTGGAGAAAGCAACTTTCTGAAGAACAGAGCTGATTCCTAAGCATGAAAGGGTACATTGAACCACGCAGTTCAGTGACAGAAGACTCTCCTCCGTCCTCTGTGTAATTTATAGATGCGGAATGTTCCACAAGTAAAATGATAAAACTGACTAATAATCATGGTAATATTTGTCCCTTCCCATATATTTCTAGCACCTGTCAAAATTTCAGTGACCAAACATCAGATTCATTTTGTTGTTGCAAATTAAGGAACAAGCGTGTAGTTGGTTTAGGATGTCTCTTCTGCTTCATGGATCTCATGTGAAGTTCTTCTGTACTTTTTTTTTATAGGTAGAACCTATATAAAGGCTTTAGGTGTCAGATGTCTTCCTTGAAGTATGGCCGGTTGAATGGGTACAGAATAGTCTGTCCATTTATAAGCTTGGACTACTTAGGTTTATTTTTTGAATGGGTATCTTAGCAGTAGGATCCTGGACTGTCTTAACACGTAATTAATGTCTGTACCTGACAATCACTGAGCGATTCTTACTAAATAAAACATTTCTATTGTTGAGGAAGTGCATGCCTCGACATGCAGCAAATACTAGTTGCTTTGCAACTAATAGATTAACATAACCTCACTCATAAGTGAGCTTTAGGGTTTATTCAGCACTGTAAAACTAAATAGATGTGTTTCCATGCAGCATAGCGCTTAGAGAGGAGGCATGGTTGAAGAGAGTTGCAGCAAATGTAGTGATTTGTAATGGTGGGACATAGCTGGCTTTCTTAAAATGACTAAACATACAGTTTTCAAGAGCTCTTCCAAAACACATTCTTTCATTGAGAAAACTATCCTGCTAGTTTTCCTGCAACTATCTTACTATTGAAAACAATTCAAAGTGAACACTGAATAAAAAAGATCAACAAGCCATGAAATTTCAAGGGAGAACCAGTAGAGGGAACTCCACACTTCAATGCTGATTTTTGTGTCTGCTTTTGGATTGCCTATTTTTGTATCCATGGAGTGCACATAGTGTTTCTGAAGATACACTAGTGGGAAAGTTTGACTTTCACTAATTAGAAAACATAGTTACAGCTGAAATATTTTTGTAATATATTCTAAGTCTAATTTAAAAGTAACTACAAATTCACAGCAGGGAAAACAAACTCCAAATGTATCATTATTAATTATTTTATCTCCATTCATAGACTTGTACCTACTTCCTTGCTTTAAGATAGCTTAGCTTACTTTTCCTTTACAAACGAACAGGGAAGTCTGCTTTGCTTAAATTAATGTTGACCTTCATTTTTCTGTATTGTTTTTTTTGATATGAGGAGTTTGGGATTTTTCCCAATGCTTTCACAGTGCACTTGAAAGCTCTTACTTGCTTTGTTAAAGCTCTTTATCCAGATGTCAAAGTTTTTTCCCCTATTCTGGAGAGCATTGCTTACCAATAGGAAGAGGTTGTAGATCTGTGCGGTAGGAATATATCAGGCAGGAGACCTGAGACTTGGTGGTTAAGTTCAGATACATACAAGGATTAGCTGTTTTAAAGCAGTTGTTTTAATTGTTCAATACATTTTGTGGTTTTGTCAACTCTGAATTTTAAAAATTGCAAGTGATGTTTTCTCTTTTCTGATTTCACGCTCTCTGAAAGAAAAGCAGTCTTCTGTTTTTTAAGCTAGAAACCTTCAGAGATGTAGGAAGGTCTTATCTCAGAAGTATGCCAAATATGTTGCAGTATGTTAGCTTTTTCTAATAAAATTGTTTTTCTTTTGAAACTTTTATTATTTTTTTAATGAACTAGAGACTTTAAAATAGGAGTGGCTGGGTACAGCCAGCTCAAGAAGGATGACATTCATGCACCAACTTGGAAAGAGGACTATTAGCCATTCATGATAACTGACCCATGGAAGATGTGGCCAGTGGCTTAACACCACTTTGGTGGCAACATCAGTTCTGCTACGGCTGTCTCATGCCTGTAACTAACTTGTCCAAACTTAGGATCTTTAGGGTAAAGTTTAGAGTGAAAATACCATTGTCCAGCTCTAGGAAGCCATGTGAAGAGTCATCTTTGTCTGAAATCATCTTTTGCTTACAAACCTATCTCTTGAAGCTGGAAAGTCAGTTTCTCAGAAGGAAAGTGTTGGGAGAGGAGGGGAAACTTCTCCCTCAGCTTGAGCCTGAAACCTCGATGGTAGTAGTAAGTGTTGAAGGTCAGAGACTTAGTGCAGCATTCCACTGCGAGACTCTGCAGCCTTGCCCAGTTCCATAGAATTGGCAGAGATCAAAAGTTTATCTGCTGTCTTCTTGAAGGAAAGCAGAGCACTGATACCTTTCTAAGAAATGGCCAAAACCTTCTTTTAAACTGGAAATGCTCCTTGTGGGTGGTGTTGGATGGAGCAGGCTAACGCTTAATTACAGAGTGATTTTTAAAGTGCATTTCTCTAATCAACTCATTGTTGCTATTAGAGCCTGGCCTTGCTGGTGCTATCCACAAAACCCTTTGCAAACATGAGAGGACTGAAGACTGAATGCTGCAGGAAGGGCTTGGAATGCAAATCAGAACAGCGAGGTGTGAGTGGCACATCGACAATGCATTCCCTATTTCTTGCTAAATTTTGTTCCAACAACTTTCCTGCCTGTTAGTCTGGCTAATTTCTTGCAGCTTAGCGTTAACATGCCTTTGAAAAGGAAACTTCATGGCAACAGGTAGAGGGACTTGCAATTATTTGCTTGGTAAGGGCATCCCCTCTGTCCTGGGAGGAACTGTGACCTAGTGTAAGAGAAGAGATGGATGGGGGCAAAGTGCTGTGTAAAAGGTAGTTTTAATACCTGAATAGGCAAGGACTCTTGTTTTGAGCCAGGGGTGGGTCTTTTAATGGGTTAGTTATCAAAAGATCTGGTTCCAAAGCAGACAGAGGTAGTACAACTGCCACTGACAATTCACTTACTCAGGTGTCTGTTCTATAAGCCAGGGTAGCAAGAAATTAAGAGTGCATAAATAGAAGCTCTGCAACAGCCCCCCACAGACCAAGGTGTAGCAGAAGTCTCTTGGCAGTGGGAACATCTTCAGCAAAAGTGGTGACTGAAATTAATGCACCTGACGTGGTTCTTTCTCTTGCCTCTATTAAAAGGCATCACAGTTGTTAGGCAGTTTGGTAAGTTTTAAGGGTAAAAACAGTCTGTGGTGATGATGCTACTTTGTCTTTTAAGTTGAAAGAGTTAGTGAGTAATTCTTTAGGGTTTGCCCTGGTGATATTAGCTACTAAAGGTGCTGACTGTTACCCAGAAGGAGTACTTGCAGTGTCCAGTTTTATTGCCTTCTGGAGGAACCTGCCCCTTTCCATTAAGGAATGGAGACTTTAGACTGTCTCATCCCTCTCTCCACTGAGATGATTTAAGAAAAGGTTTTGAGCCTCATCACCAACTGATTGTATCTATAGCTTCAACTTGGTCATAGTTAAACAACGTTTGCTCTGTGTGTTAGCTTGTCCTTCTTTTATAACTGCTTTTTACAGAGCACATTAAGTAGATAAATTATTGCAAAGAGCCTCCAGCCAGGAGGGAAGCATTCAGTAATCAGGTGAGATTCACATCTGACTGTGCTTGCTGGTGTACATGTTCTGCAGTGATGTTGCAGAGACCAGGTAGTACAGCAAGAGCAATAGCATCATCCTGTGATAAAGGTCCTCTGTATGATCACCAAATAAAACGTAGCACCACCTCTGGGACCCAGCAGTGCCATTTCTTAGCATGCCACAGTTGAGCAGAGGAGGAAGCAGCATATAAATAGCAAGGAGTGTGTGAGCTCCATCTCGGTGCCTGATTAACAATTACAGGAACTGCTTTTAATGCAGATCTCTGAGTCAGCCCTCTTCCTTTGGCTTCCTCTGTCAAACACTCCTTTGTTAGCTCTAAGTCCTTGATCACCAGGAGTTTGTACCTTTAAGAGGCTTGTGGTAAGTGATTACTAATAGTGGCACCAGATACTGATAACACAGTGGTGGGTGACAACCACATTTCAACAACTCAGAGATAGTCCTTCGAGTGCAAACAGAGCTGACTGTGAAGTTGTTGAAGGAGGCACATACTGGCTCTCTGCTTCTTCTTTCAGTAAATCCAGCACACAGCTTTGTTTATCCTTCAGAATTTGGTAATCTGCCTAGTCAGTGGCTTATGAAATTCCACTGCAGCAGAGAAAAGAAAATATTGCTATTCTAGTTACGGAAATTCAGATTTAGTGTCTAGGCTGCCTCATCTAGAGATCTTTAATCAAGTGGAGGTCTCAAGTAGCAAACAAAAGTGATAGTTCAGTGTCAACACAATGATCAGTGATGTCAAGGATGAGTTTGACTCCAGCTCTTTTTTTTCTTCTCCTAGCTAAGAAATTCTGAGACTGCTGCTGGAAGCAAACACGTAGCCCCTTGCTTTCCTCTGATCTCTGATCAGTTCAGGAAACAATCCTGATGGCTGCTGACAAAAGAAAATATAAGTACATGCTGCTTCGTGATCAGAGTGGTGATTGCCCTCTCATGGGGTCAGTTTAAAGTTTATAGCTAAGACAAGATTTAGAAAGGAAATTTCTGAACTGTTCTAGGGAAAGGCAGTTTATTTGGTTCAGGTCTTTTGTCTCAGCTTTCTGCCCTAAAGATGGGGGGGCTTATTTAGCTAGAATTTCTAATGTCATTACAGGGTGTAGCAGGTGCTGCCTTCTTGGAACTGGAATAATGTTTGATGGAAAACTGAGTATTTCTAGGGATAGGTGACATTCTTCAAAGATAAGCCAGACATCTGTAAAGCATGTTTGTTTGGGCAGGGGAGGTGGGTAGCAGGCTGAGCCAAGCTTCATTTTACTTAGGAAATGTGAATTTCTTGCATAATAGCAATAACTAAGTGACATGGGATTCAGACCTCTAACTATTTGCACTCAGTAATTCTTGTGAATAATGCAAAAGGCAAAGTAAACACTAGTGATTCCCAAACTGCTGTATGGATCGGTTTTGCTACATGTACTACTGCACTTCAAAGCAAGTAGCTACAAGTTGTGAGCACCTTTTGCTGCTGCTGAGCCCTAGGGGAAAAAAGGGTTTGTGGATTACGATGTAGAGCAGTATGATGTATAATCTGAGTATGGTGATGTTGGAAACACAGCATAAGTACCTATTTTTTTTCTTTTAAAAGTATTAAAAAGTAAGTTAGGAACTTCTTAATGGCCTTTCAAGATTTTTTTTTTCCATTTTATTTTGAAAGATTATATTGGATTTAGGTAGTTTAGAACTAATGCTCCTATTGTCTTATCCTAGAATATGGGCATGGTTGTTTCTTCAAGTGAGTAGTCCTAGAATGACACACTGGAATCGGACCAAAAAAAAAAAAAACAAAAAAACCCCATAAAAATTAGCATCTGAATAGGGAGTCTTTTTTTTTTTTTTCCTTATTGCAACAATGTTCAGGAACATTTTGCTGACTTTCTATGTTAACATTTTGTTGGTAGGCAGGTAGGTATTATAACATCAGACTATGTTCAAGTAGCTTGCAGAAGCGCCTGTCAATGGGAGACAAACTGTGAGAACATTGCTTCAATCAGTGGTTATTTCAGTGATCCAAGGGATATCAGGTACTAGATTAATGCACTTTGTTCTTTTCTTCTCAACAGGAAGCCTAAAAAGGAAGAACATCTTAGTGAAGAGGCTGCCAAGGTGATTTCTAGCCTTCCTGACTTAACTTTCATGCATGCCAAGGTGTTGATGTTCCCAGCCACATTAACACCTTCAACAAGCTGCCAAGAAAAGGTAGACTAAAGTGATGTGAATTGGACGTTTTCTATTGATTTTTTTTTTCTTCCCTCTGTGGGTTGTAAAAAGCAATCTTGCTTTAATTAAAAAAAATCAAGTTCAGATGATTTGTTGGTAAGCAGCACTAGAAAGGTATACATAGTAATGTATATTTATTTACATACTGGAGTCCTAAATTTATATTAGAGAAAAATGTAAATAATTGGGGGTAAATCTTTTTGAAGATCTATTCTTTTTGTTGTGCTGGGCTGTATACATTTATGTCTTTGTGAAATACACTGGTGATGTCCTTCTTACAAAACTTTAAAAAAAGTTTAAAAAAAAAAATCCTAGAAACTCATAATGAAAACTTCAATCTTCACAATCTGTGAAGTCCCCCTTAAATGTTTTCAGATCGCATTGGGCATCCTTTTCTTTCCTGCATATATTAAAATATGTGTTGCTGGGGGAAAAACAAAAGGTTACATTGTCCCTTTGTGGATTTTCAGTTATTGGTGTTTCTTTAAAACCCAATAATTTCTTTTGTGTTTTAACAAGCTTAAGATGTGGTTGGGTTTTTTTCCTTTTCTCCTCCATCCCCTCCCCCGTTTGATTGGTTGGCTGATCAATTTTTATGTTCTTAAACTCCAATAGTATGGCTCTGTCACTATATAGCCTTTTGAAAGGTATGCTGTCAGTAACTTCTTGTTCCAGTTATGGATCACTGTCTAAATACTTGATTTTTTGGGGTCATTAGAAGGTTATCTGGTTTTAATCAGTTTGATTTGGAAAAGAAGGACCAAAACTATGTGAATGTCTTACAATTAAATTTACCTGTTAAAAATTTTTATGTTCTGTTGTACCACTATTCCTGTTTGATTTTGCACAGTGTAAAATGACATAATCATAGATTGCTATGGTTTTAGGCTGTATATACAGTAAAAAACTACGGGTTGTAAATGTCTGGGGAAATTCCTATGGAAAAAAGAGCGCTATGTAGAAGAACCTCTAAAAAGGTCAATGTGCATGCCCAAGGTCTTTTGAGATTTAAGTGTGTAAATTTCCTTTTAGCTTACACAAAATAAAATAATTTAAAAGATACATATGTATATAGCCTGCTGTCTTTTTATATGGAATGTATACATTCTTCACATTTCTGTTGATGGTCAAATCAATGCACTGCATTAACAGTAGAACCTTCTCATTTCTGTTGCGCAGTCCCACAAAACACACCTGTCAGGGTCCTGCAGAAGGAGAATCAGACTTCTCTTTAATTGTCCTGTCTTTTTGAACATGTTGTGATGTAGGCTTTTATTTCTGCCTCCAACTTGCCTTCTGGCTTGTAGGGCGATGTGGCTGAAAACATGTCGGTATTTGGGTTAGAGACTTCTTCAAAGTAATTGACAATACTCAGCTGTAAGAAACAAATTCTGGTGAGGTGAGAAAGACCAACTGGTTTTGCCTATTTCTTAGCTAGAGATAAAAATGTTAAACCTAACATTCACTTAAGTTTCCTAACATGTCAGCTCACACTGTAGCTCTTTCAGCAACATCTCTTCAGAGGATATCAGTGGGCTGTCTGCAGGTGAGGGATGCTCTGGGTGCTGATGTTTCTTGAAGGTGCTTTGCATGAGTATAGGCTCTGTCATGTCTAACCTTTACTGTGTGCACAGCTCTTTAAGGGCTCAGTAGTCACCACCAGTTCGTTACTTAACATTTAGTTCTGAGAAATGTAATCCAATGTATTTTCTTTCCTCTTGGAAATGTATCTCCCATGTATTTTATTTCCTCTTGGAATTCTTTATCATCTGACAGCACTTGGGTCAGAAAAATTTGAGTTTGGTGTCATTAACTGGTAAGCTGAAATGTCCCTGCAAAAGGAAGCTTTTTTCCTTCTAGGGAGTCCTCTTCAAATGTCCTCGAGAGATGAGTGCTGGAGTTCCACCTTTGTGAACCCAGGAGTTTCAGTGAGTGGTGGCCACTCGGAGTTGAGGGAGCTGCTCCTGCGGTTGTGGTAAAGCTAATTTGTAACAGCTAAACTGGCTCCTTTGCCCTCAAATTAGCACTGCAGTATACAGTGCTGTGGTATAAAACTGCCCCTTGTAGCTGAAAAGGTTGATGTAAAAGCCAGCTGCTTCATGATGTGTCCCCAAAACCACTCCTGTTTGCTCCTTCCACAGACTTTCATTACAGCACTGACTTAATGTCTGTTTCATGTCAAAGTTATCTTTACTAATCTCACAGGGTTAGCATAGTATTCTTTAGTGCATGCTTATTATATCATTCAGTTCTGGTGTTGGCCTGCTGTAGGTTAAAATCGGTCCTTTTGTTTTCCTAACTGTGGTGTGTCCCTTGGAGCCAGAGTAGTGGTAAAGCTGCAGCAGAGAGCTATAGCTATTGTTTCAAGGCGAATATGTTTAGGACCTGACTCATGATCCTTGTCTGGCAGCAAGTGGACTGAAGTATTAAGGAGAGGTGGGGGTGGAAGTGCCAGCTGCAAGTTGATCTTTAGTCTCCTCACAATTGCCTCTAGAGGCAGCTGCCCATTTGTTTTCCAGTCCCGAAGTGCAGTACTGGTGGCCCGTTGTAGATGAGGAGGGGGAAGAAATGGCAGGGGGAAAAGGAGATTTCTGTTGTGACTGATGTACCAATCTGAAACTTTGTGAAACCTGGTACTACCTAGAGTGTGTTTATGGGGGTTTTATTTTCTTTCTGCCCCCCACCACCCAAAAAAAAAATTGCATCCCACAGACCTTCACAGTGCCAAAAGACATAAATCTTCCATCTAAATTCAGCCTTTTGAGGTGGATGCTACTAATGTAGTGTTGCTTTTTGTCTCCTAGCTTAAGCTCCCTTCTTTCTTGTCGATTGTGGGATGGACAGATGGGCTCCTCTACCTCTCTCCTCCTGCTTGTGCAGACAGCTTTGTTCTTACACAGAAAGTTTTGTCTAGCAGATCCGGCTGCATCGGGGTTGTCCTTCCATGCTGTTCCCATACCTTATCTAGTTTAATCTTGCCAGTAGGTTTATGGGCAGGATGGTAATTGATACTTTCTGCACATAGGTGTTGCTGTGCATTGTCATCAGACATGTCAACGTGTATCACATTCACTCAAGAACTAGTGTCATTTAATAGTGAGGCGCTTATGTGCTCATCCAACAGAAGCAACAGAGGACACTGGGTTCAGATGCAATTGCCTGAGTTGGAACATGGCCATGAAGCAAAGTCCAAAACTCCTACTGTGAAGCAAGCTGCAGGCCCCTGAATGACTGCTAAGAAGAGCTGGATTCTGCTTGTATTATCCAAAAGACTGCACTCTGATGCTCAGCAGTTCAGCACTGACTTATCAGGAGCATTACCACCTGCTGCAGGTGTTAGCAGTGCTGTACTTCCCACAGCACTTGAAATGTTAAGACCTTCTCAGAATATCATTAGCTTGACACATTCATTTTGAGATACCAAAAATAAAACTCACAAATAATGTATGTAGATGCCCTCAAATGCAATTAGTGTGTACTGAAGTTAACCCTTCATCACATGGGATTGTCGTACAGAATTTTACCTGGTAATGAAATCAGTATGTGGAAAGTTTTGGTGTTGGACTGCAGGACTGTTGCGCTTGGGCTGAGTATCTAGTATTTACAGGATGCGAAGGAGACTTAGCTCAGTGCATGTAAGGTGGATCAATCATCCTTGGCCCAACCACTTACATCTAGGTGCAACTCTTCTGTGCCAGTTCTGAACCTCTGCATAATTATCTTTATAATTTCAGAGCAGTCTGAAAATACAGGATAGTTGCAAAATACACTTGAATGTAATTTGTAAAAGCATATGGCATCTAATAATTGCATAGCACCTGCTAGCAGTGTCTGCTACAAAAGCAGAGAAATTTTTCTTAATCTGGTCTCTGTGCTGAAGAGCACAGACACTAAAGGCAGCGAACAGCCTGGTCTGCTCCCTTAGGTGAACCTGGAGCATGAAAGGAGATGGGGAGAAACAACACATTCAAATTCAGAAGGCTAAAAACAGAGTGAGGAGGAGCTGGAAGAAAAAAAATACAAAGCTAGAGGTCAGGAAAAGCTCCGAGTGGGGGAAATAAGAAGGTGAAGGAGGACTCAGAGTGTAGGCAGCTGGGATAGCAGTAGGAAAAGCAGGTGGTGGAGAAAGTGGGATACAAGCATGAGGAGCAGGGGCATTTGGAGAGGAGAGAAAGCCTGGGGTGGATTACAGGCGCGCACACTGTGCCCACTGGCTGCTCTTGTCCAAAATCTGGAACTGAGCCTCAGAGACCCAAGTCTCTGTGTTACTATACTGCAGGGGAAATGTGTCACACTCACCCGATGGGTTTAAGTTGCACATGTCACAGCAGCCTGCTCTTGCTATCAATTATTTTTGGTAGAGAGCTGGACTGCAGATGCAAGGGGTTTAAATGCGGCTGCTGGTGCATGTTTTAGCATTGATACAAGTCCAGATGTTAGAAGACCTTTTTTAAAAATCCTCAAAAAAATCAAATCCTCTAAAGCTAAGCTCCACTGCTGTGATATGAAACTGCAGCTTCAGTCCTGTCATGCATATGCAATGTGACAGTCGTTACTTACATATCCCGTCTTCACCGGATCCTTGCCTCGTGCCCTGCGCAGAATTATTCTCTGAATCAGCGTAGTGCAGTGTGACTCTTCTCTGCAGCGCCCCTGCTTCATAGAGCTAAAGAGAAAGGATGGCCTTATGTGGAAACTACAGAGAAGGCATGGTGGAGTGCGATGCTCTCCTGGCTTGGAGCAGCTGACCATGTTGGCTTTTTTGCAGGAGGTCACTTGTGCATTTCTGTCATTTGGTGCCCAGCATGAGTTGCCTGATTGGGATGTGCAGAAATGCTAATTGCTCTGGGATGTAGCTTAAGCAGTTAGATGCTCTGCTTGTTTGATATACAATCAGGGCTCTGCAACACCAGGAGTCAAGGTGCATGTGCGAAGCATCCGAAACTGCTGGAGCTCGTTTTCATCTTGTCAACATGTTCTTAAACTTGCAATATACGTCATTATCCTTGCATTACTGCAAGGTTGTGGAGATCAGCTCTGTTTGAAATGCCTTGCTCATCTTTGTAGTTTGTCAGCAACATCTGAGAAGGACTCAGCTTATAATAGGTATCACACGCATCTCAAAGGCATAGGAGAATGCTCACTGTCATGTCTGAATTTACTATGTGGTCACCAAAGAAAAGTACGTTGCTGCTTTAGGGGCTCTGAATCTTCCCCTGCTTGCCTAACACTAGGGCACATACCTGCAGAGGTTCCTAATACTATAGTCCATATAGGAATTGGATTGTGTGGCTTAAATAAGGCTTCAGACTACTGGTAGAATATGAAGGGGTAAAA